CATTTTGGAACAATTTCCAAATAATTTGCGAATAATTAACAGCGTAATTTGGGCAATTAAAATTTGATTCCCAATAATAAGCATATAAAGTGTTCAAATTATATAGAAAAAATGCAAATAATTTGCAAATATTTATTCAAAGGAAATTCTAAATTAAAACAAAAAAAAAAAGAAAAGCTTACGCCCCTTCTAGCGATAGATTGTTCAAGAAGTTCGACGACGTCTTTGCCAACTACTCCTGTTGTTTCAATACCTTTGGTCCACCTAAATATTTCTTCATAAGATTTATAATTGTTTGCTAATTTTTGTTTCGAATTTATATAATATTACCAACCTGAGTAGTGTGGCAGAACGTAAACTTTTCTGGTCACATGGATAAGAAAATGTGAATCCCACCGGAAGGCCATCATTCTGGACACCTTTCTCAATCAGGAATTCCGCTAAGCATTTTGTTATGTAATCGAAGAGCTTAAAGATAGGTTTGGATTTCATTCAATTAGCTAAATTAAATGAGAAACATTAAATGCGTCAACAGTTATTTCGTATTTTCAACTTCAAGTTAAGCTTTTATCATCAATAAGATTTTGAATTGAATATCTATTAAATAGATATTAATTAACGACAATACTGATTAACTAAAAGGACATTCCGTATTTCACCAACCGTTTGGAGTTTTTTTCCTTTTTTTTTTAAATAAATCAGACAAATATTGCATTTAAGAACCAATCAGTTCGAACATTTTTAGCAATATTTACATAAATGAAATACTGAAAGGGTTAAAGATCAACCTGTTCACCAGTACCACGCATAGCCCAATTTGGTATTCGTGTATTGAATTGCTCCGTTTTAAGCTCTTCACCTGGCGTAATAGCCATTAACATTACACGTAGATTGGTACCACCCAAATCCATTGCAACAAATCGACCTTCTTCTGCAAAATTTCTGTAAATGTACTTATTAATATCCAAAACAGAAAGGAAAAAAAGACCGAATTGGACAGGTGTTACAGGTGTATGAGTTCATGCTTACCTTTATGAGAATTTTCCCTTTACTTATAAATTCATTGAATTGTTGTAAAAGTGATGAAACATTTTAACAAACATTTAAATAATGACCGTATAGTTTTTTAAGCCTACGTCAAACGGATGTAATCATAAAATTTTGATGTTCCTCTCTCAGGAGGTGATGCTATTTGCATAAGTAATTGTCATGACCGTCATTCAATCGAATGTAACCTGATTGTAGTGATCGAAATGATCGAATGGAACCTGATTGTAGTATCACTTACGGTATTGATATATCAGTTTGATATATCAGTCTTTCAAAAAAAAAAAAAAATTCACAGTATCAACCTCAAAGTGATTCCAGTTAATCTGTCTGTTAATTTGAAATATCGGTGATTTTGAGAAAAGCTACCAGTGTAACCAATGACCAAGAATAAAATAGAAGAATTGTAATAGTGAAGTGATAGAAGAAATGA